GCCATAGTGCCAGTGAAACACATTAAATGATTTTGTGGATTATTGGTCACCTTAAATATTGGCAAGTTCGTAGCTACAAACTTTTCTGGTAAAGCAAGTCCTGAGGGAGGAGCGAAGAACTAGCTTCTCCAACGACTTTTCTTTGATGGATAATTGCTCCATATTTTCTTGTAAGGCTAACGCTTCAACTTTTTTCTTTTCAGCATTTTCCATCTTCTTAATTCTTCTCTCCTCGGCTTCTTGAGCCTTTTCCTCTCTCATACAAAGAATCTCTTGTTGAAGTTCTTCGACGGTTTTTCATTGTTGTTGGAGTAGAATTAGTTATCGAAGGAAAGTGGTTTGAAAAGGGGTTGATCTTTGGGTGGTAAACGTAGAATGCGAGTGCCCGGGGGTCCTCCTTCCCAAGCTTGAAAACCGGCCCTAAAGGAGTACGAAAGGATAAGTAAATCGATACACTTTCTTTTGAAAGGAAAAAAAAGAAAAAGACGCAAAATATACTCAAACGGATAACATCGCCCTTAACAATTCTTCAATGAAGATATTGTTCGGACGAGTCAACTTGTTTTTTGAGAAATCGAAACTGACTCATCCAGTGGGCGCGCGCTAGTAACTCAGTTGCGCGCGGCTGTCGCGCAAAACAAAATCACTTGCGCTGGGAGGGGTCGTGCAACTTCTTGAGTTGCCCGCGCCACCTGTTCATAATATATATATTTTTTTAATCCGAGCGTTTTTTTTATTCGATTTTTTTACTTGACCCTTTTTTTTATGTTATCCTTTGAATATGACGCTAAATCATGAAGGGACAACTTCGTAATTGGGAACCTAGACCAAACTAAAAAAGAAAAAGAAGACTATCCTAACACGTTGCACATAGTCATATAATCACATAAGCATGTCAAAAGTCAAGATTCACGCAATGTCGTTCTAAGGTAAAAAAAGGCTTGGGTGTCCAAAGGTACTATACCTTAAGAAACGATGCATAAATCAATCACTCAACGTGTTGACCCATGACATCGCCCTCCCAACATTTTGTTGGTGATATGGGTGGGATGATTGTTATTGATTTTGGGATAGACGCCTAGTGTTGGCGACCCCTAATTAATGAGCCAATCCCCAATGGTTTAAGGGTGCTATGGTTATGCATGATGCAATGTTGCTGGTTTGGTTTTTACTTTTGTGCAAAAGGAAGATATTATGCATTCAAGTCTCGCTCTCTAACTAGAGATTATCCAAGTTAATTCTCGTTACAACCCATAGGCAACCTAGTGTTGGATACCTTGGACCATAACTATGAATTAATCATGTAACCTTTAAGTCCTCAACAAAGTCGCCACTGTAAGTAGGGTGATCCCATCGTAAGGGGTACTTTCCTTAAATGCCCTTGGCTACTTAAAAGCCTAGGATTTACACTTGTTAGGGTGTAGTAGGATTTGAATTCCTGACTGTTTGGGGGACCTTGAATTAGAATTGATTCTATCATCACGCTATTTTGTAAGAAACAAGTAGGAGTCGCCAATGAGTTTTGGGAAAAACTCATAAACCTCGTTCATGCCTTTCTTCCACGTGGAGTTCATGGAATAATTAGCACAAATCATAAGTTTACCCATGCCCAAATTGGTCTATAAACCATAAATGAGTTCGGGAGCGAGGGTACTAGGATAATGTTCTTTTAGAGGGGAATCGTCATCCTAGCCCTAGTATGGCCTCTATTAGCTCTTCCTTTTTTACAATTTCATCACCAAACAATATATGTAACGCGATACCTAAAACTATGTTAGTTGATTTTATTTACAAACATTAATTCATGTAGCAATTACATTGAAAAGTCGTTATTCTTATTTAATAATATTCATAAAAGAACAAGAAAATAAACAAGATTTGTCTTGGCTTAAGTGATCAACCAATAATTATTTTAATTCAATTCTAATCTTTATTTAATGCAAGGTACTATGTGGAATTGATTAATTAATTATTTTAAAGGTGATAAAACAACACTGATTAATTAATTAAAGTCCTTTTAAACAAGAACAAGAAGGTGATTTAACTAAGTGCTCGGGAATTTACCACTTCTCTTTGCTAGATCTCCGTTTAGAACACTTATGGACACCTTCTTGTTGGGGAACCTACACCTTAGTAACAAAGTATGGAAAGGGTGAGTGTTTAGGGCAAGAGAGCTAGGTTACACAAGTTCACAAGTTATTTCGCCAGAGTTTTAGGTTAATTTATGTCTGTTGAAGCCTCAGTATAAGCTCGTATTTATAGGGAATGATTAGGTTTAGGGTTTCGAACATTCTGCCGCAGTGGGTATCGCGCGCAACAAAGAGAGTTGCGCGCGGCAACCCAGCGCAAGTTATAGAGTTGCGCTGCTATGTGTTGCGCAACTAAATGTCTTGCGCGCGGCTTTATGGAAAGATTCGATTTTATATTTTCCTTATAATTCTAAATAATTCTGAATCTTCCGCATCGCAACTCTGAAAGTTGCGCTGGGTGTCGCACGCAATCGAATTAGTTGTGCGCGGCGGCCCAGCGCAACTTTGTAAGATGCGCACGGTTTTTTATGCTGCAGCACTAAGTTTTAACCTAGGCGCTCCTAAATCCGTCATTATTAGGGTTTAAGCACGGGCTTAAGCCTAATTATGATCATGTTTAGTCAATTGGACCTTTGTATTAGCTTTTTCTTTAATTTGGGCTAGTCTTTTGTGTTTTGTGGCTTAACTAGTTATCCATAAGCATTCTTCACTTTGATCCAACATGAAGATGGTTTTATTTATCGTCATTGCACTTCCTGTCAGGACAGGAGGCCAAAAGTAGATGTCTACAATAATCATAGCATCCAATTGTTCCAGATTTGTGCTCGTTTAACAAAGTCAACAGTTAGAGAAAATTGAACAAGGTACGCATCATAGAATAAAAATGCGGTCGCGGTCGCGGTAGCGCGGTATCGGTATTGTTACGCCCGTAACGGACTAGGTATTGGTCGTCACGGCAGAATTTTAATTTTAGAGCATTTTAAGGGTGTTTTTACCAATTTGAAGCCCGAAATATGTATATTAGTAATAAATATCATTTATAATTGTGATTATAAAGTAATTCATATATTTAAAGCCATTTTTTAAATTATTTGTATATCATAATAATCGGTAAATGTATTTATTAATTTTGTATTAATTTTTACGTATTTTTTTATCTTTAAACATATTATTCTGTATTTTTAATTAATTTTATTAAGAAAATTAAATTATTATTATTTAAATGACATTAATAATAACCACATAACTTAGTTAGCAAAGAAAAAAATTCGTTTGTTTAATTAGATAAATACAACAAACCATGCTACTGAAATGATGCATAAGCCATAAATTCTACAAATAATACATATGAAATTCTTAATACCAAAATGAGTGGCGTGGAGCATCTTGTTGGGAATCTCCATCATTATTATTTCTTCCAGTTTCCCCGAAATAGTATGATCCCGCACCATCCATCCACGTGGACTCATTTAGACTAGAGTTACCGCTACTACGACAATAATAAGTAGGTTGATGATAGTGCACACCACCATAATTCAAGGAGCCGTGGTTGACAATATGAAGACCTTCTTGATTGAAAGGGTCAAGTTATGGTTCTTGGTAGCCAAATCCACTCCCACTCGCTCCTGCATATGGCATACCTATTGTAGATTGAGGATATGATGAAAAAGGATCATGATAGTTGTAATCTTGGGGTTGGAAGTTACTGATTCAGATGGAAAAACATTTGTGGATAATCCATTCCATGATGCATCACTATCAATAGGTTCAATTGAAGGTTGTCTTTCTCTTGTACGCCTTTGAAATCCTTGTGAGTAATTATTTTCAAATTCAGAGTTTGGAGGATTAACCATTGATTGTGGAAGTTGATAGCGCCCACTCGATTGCCTCGATGAGTAAGAAGAGATAAATTAATTTCCATCATTTCCATCATCTCCATCGTCGCTACTTGGTGGTGTCAAAGCAGATTGTTTGTTACCAGCACTTTGCCGACTTTGCTCAAAGGTTTGATGATTAGAGGAACCTCAAACAGTGTTGCCAGTTTGACTTCCACCACCTCCGTCGCCACCTTCTCCATCATCATCATCATCTAACCAACTGAGATCATCTCCTTCAAAAATTTGAGATCCTGATTCCTCCAACCATTCGTTTAAAGGATCGTCAACATCAAATATGTAATCTAAATTAATTGGATCACAAGTGGTTTTCAGCTCATCGGCACCATGCCTCCTCATATGTCTCAATTTTAACTTCATGTTGTATCCAAGGTAGACGATTTGATGGAGCCTACCATACTTCAATTGATTTCTCGTTTTAGTATGAGCTAAACTCCACTTGCTCCAGTTTCTCTCACAATTTGATGATGATGTGGTTTGACTTAATACTCGCACAACAATTTTCCTTAATTCGGGTGCGCTATCTCCATACGTCATCCACCACATAGATGCAAACATTATTTGTATGTATTATGTAATGTTATTTATTAAAATTATGTTAATAAATCATGTATTGTAATTAAATTTGATGTTTAAATATATACCTGGGTCCATTTGATGTATTGCCCTTTGTGCCGAGCTATTGCCAAAACTTTCAGCCTATCCCGATACATGTAAATATGTGATTTTCCACGTATTTTAATGTATGTAAATGTTTAAAAGTAATCTTACAAATGTTTTTTTAAAATTTAATAAATAATATCTTACTTGTTGGATTGCTCTGATTTCATTATCTGGATCTCTTTCAAGTTTTGTGATTACTTTTCTCACCCCTACTAACAACTCATCGTCATTTCCAATGTCATTTTCTCCGTACATGTATTGAGGGTTTAAGAAACATCCTTGAACATGACACACATATACAGTAATTATAAGTATTTATTTTTAACATAAATATAAGTACATTGAAAGAATCATAAATATTATAAATATTACCTGTTGCATGTAAATCCGTATGTAATTGGCAATTCCATCTTTAGTCTATCATCTTCCAACAATTCTTGTAATATGTACAATTCTTTTGAATTGCCAGCTTACAACGCTCCATTGCCTCATATATAAAACCCATTGTTGGTTTTAGATCTCCATCAACAAGCTTCAATACTTTTATGATGGGCTCTTGTATTTTTATTATTTCATCAGCCTTTTCCCAAAATTTGGCAACTTCAGTGGAAGGATGTTTAGACAACGTTTCACGAACTTCCACAGCTAATGCGTCATTCATTTGACCGAATCTTGAAGTCACCAAAGTATTAGAATCAAACATATATTGCAAGGCAGTCTTATGTCTCACAACACTTTCCAACATTTTGAATTGCGTTGCAAATCGTGTGATTCCTGGTCGTGTAAGATCTCTACCCCCAGTAAACTTCTTCGTATAATCAACTGCCCATTTATACTTGTAGATGAATTGGGAGACTTTTCTTGCTCTTTCTATAACAGATTTTATTGAACTTTTCTTCCCAATATCTTCCAAAAGAAGATCTATACAATGAGCTGCACAAGCTGTCCAGTACAAATGTGGGAATCTTTTCATTAGTTTCTTTCTTACAGCTTTGACCGAAGCTTCATTATCTGTCACGATTTGAACAACTTTCTCTTTTCTTATCTCTTGTACTACCTTCTCCATCAAACTATAATAGTAATTTGTGTCTCTACAATACACATCTGTGGCATTAATTGATTTGTGAAAAACAGTGCCACGAACAGAGTACACATAAAGTTTATAATGTGCATGTTTGTTGGCCCTGACCAACCATCACACATTATTGTTACACCTCTTTCATTCCACACCGATTCAAAGGACTTGATGTAATTCTTCATCTCTTTACATTCTTCTGGTAGATATACCTAATAACATAACAATAAATAATTTCAATGTTAAGAGTTACGCTAAAGAAATAATTTTAATAGCAAATAATAAAATGTGTTAATTCACATAATAAATTAATTGTACCTGAGCTAATTCATAAGCCGAAGGAGCTCGAACATCTGGACACTCTCGTATAGTATCCATCAGTGGATTAGTGTAAGGGGACTCGATTGCCTTAAATGGTAAATTAGTATCAATCATAAAATTACCAAATGCTTTAATGATTGACTTTTTTTCCTTCTTCATAAATGAAGTGTTAATTTTTGTTTGTTTTTTTCTTTTGACAATCCTTTTCCAATTCAATCTCACGTGCCCTTAATCTTGCAGCTGCATTTGATGGTACTTCAATTGGTATGTTTCTCCCTCTTCCTCTCCCAACTCCAACTTCGTGAACAGATGATGATCGGTTCAATCGTGAGGGAAAACCACTACTACCTCCTTCATGATAGTAGTTATTTCTTGGATGATAATATTCAAACTCATGTTGCTCTCTACTTTGTCGCATCGCATATGCCAATTCAAGATCTTTCTCCTCATCATCATCGATTGGACGATTCATTGATTTGATTAAATTTTCTTCAAATTCTCTATCCATTCGATTTTTTTTTCCTTTTTTTTATCTTTAAACTCCATTAGAAGCCCCATCATGTCTCTTTTAATTTCCATGGACACTTTCTCACATGCCGCTACATCACCAGTTTTATGAGCTAAATGTTGCTTTAATCTTGTTATACCCCCATTAATTATTTTGTGACAAAATTTGCATCTTATTTTATGCTTACTTCCATCAACGGGTTCACTAAAACTCCAACCAATATCTTCGTCTCTTGGAGCCATTAGATAAAATCAACCTTTTGCGAATAAGTAAAACACCAAACTACAATCAAATCTTTTGTTTTGTACAAAAATTAGTGACAAATTATTTTAACTTTAATTTACTCATTTACGTGATACATTGTTACTCTAATGCAATAATTAAAAAAATATTATGCACAAGTAAATGAATTACCAATGTTCACGCATGTATAATTGTTTAGCACTTGATAAGTTTATATTACTAGTCTAATACAATAATTAAAAAAAATTATGCACAAGTAAATGAATTACCAATGTTCAAGCATGTATAATTGTTTAGTACTTTATAGTTTATACTTTATAATACTAGTCTAATGCAATAATTGAAAAAATATTAACGTAACAAAATTTCCTAAACAATTTCTTAAAAGATACAACTATAAAAGTCCACAATTCTACATATAATTGTCAAACACCTTTCTTAAAGTAATACACTAATACTACATATAATAATTATATGATACAACAATCTTAATCCTTATCTAACAATTTAATTATAAATAAAAAAAAAATTTAACATCTACAAGCTACAACTTACAGTACGGTTGACTGCTTGAGATTTTAAGAGTTTAAGACTTTGAGTAGTGCTTTACAGCTCACTTCCAACTCCCAAGAGTCCCAGAGACCCGGACTACTCCCAACTCCCAAGTAATGCTCTATTTTTATTCAAATTCCTAAATTCCCACTCAAGTACTCAATTAAAACCCATTTTTCTCTCTCTTAAAAATTACTTAAAGCTCACCTTCAACCTCAAGAGTCAAGACTCGAAGCTAAGTAATCGGTGATGGTATGTTCGTCGGCCGGCGACAATGTTCTATCCCCGACTCTAGTTTTCTTAGATCTGAAAACAGTAAGTTTTTTTGCTTTTCTTTTTTTTTTCCTTCACTTAAGCGTGGAAATAGAAGGTTGTTGCAGAATTGATTGCTTTCCTCCTTTCCTTTTATCTGTGAATATTTACAACAAAAACAAAAATTAGACTCTTTGCGGGAAACACGGGGAATATTAGCTCTAAAAAAGTTTTAAGAAAAAACCATAAATACTCATTGAACTTTTTGAAATTGCGAATGCGGACGATTCGTTCAAGATATGGATGTCGCGGTTAAAAAACACTTGTCGCGGTTAAAATTCGTTTGTGGCGGTATATGTCGCGCTGTTTTTAGTACTCCGTGATGAAACGCTAAATATCGTAACGGTGGTTTTAAATTCCGTTACAACACGGCCGCGACGCATCAACTCGGCCGAGATTTTATACCATGGTACGCATTTCACTTACTTCGGAAATACCATGAATTATTGGGTATATTTTCGCAATTCCTGTTGTGATTATCTTCCAATTGTTTTATATCCTTGGAATTGTTTATATCACTTATGAATTAAGCCCCAATTTTAAAGTTAAATAACTAGGGTTCATGTTAGTATCTAATTTGGGGTTTTTTATAATTGAAATTTATTATAATTAGGGTTAGGGAATGATAATTGTGTTAAATTTAGGGTTCCAATTTTACATAGAGAAGAAGAATGAGAGGAGAGAGATGAAAATTTCAGAAAATCTAATGGGAGGAAGGTGAGAAAGTGAAAGCAATTAAATAGGGAAGGTGAGAAAATAAAGAAAAAAAGGGAAACCGCGTTTTTAGCATTTAATTTGGAGGGAAATATATAAAAAAAAAAAAACAAAAAGAAGTGGACCCCACATCACTTTTCATCTCCGAAGTTTTTTTTGGTGGGAAAAACCAAATTTTTTTTTTATGTGGTGGTTAAATAATACTTTAAATTATGTAGGTGATAAAAGCAAATACGTCGTTTTTTGGAGGTGGTAAATTTCAAAATTCCTAAAAAAAATTCCAAATAATTGAAACAAGATTTGGTGTGTGAAAATAGTTTTGAGAGATGGAAGGATAAAAGAAAACTAATATTACGTACTACTTTAAAAACAAATCTATCTATAATCTAATATCATATTGCATATCACTAATACATAAAACAGGTCTCGGAGCCAGTCGCGAGACAGTGACACTTGACCTTCCATTTTCTCGCCAAATTTCGGCACATAGGCAACAAATAGGTATTATTATAACACATATGATGCTAAGTAAGCGTTTGTTAGATAGATTTTGTAAGTTAAAAATGTTGTATAGAGTTTTATTATCATTGTACTTCTAATATTTGATATGTACAAAATTAATCATAACATTAAATCCTATAACTCGGTTTTGTTTCCATCGTAAAATTCATTTCAGAAAGTTCTTTAAAATAAGATCCATTTATTATATATATTAATTTAATTACAAAAATAGAGAATAAGTAAAACTAAGTTTCAATCAGTAAAAATAATTTTGGTTTGGTAAAAATAATTTCTTTTCAGTAAAGATAATTTAAAATCAATAACAGTAGTTTCAAGTCACTAATAACATAGATATCTATTTACAAACAAAATTAAAAAAAGTACATTATTATATAATTATAAGCGATAGAATATCATATGTTTAAATATCATGCATTATCAAAAAGAATTACATGACCGTATTAATAAACATTTTGCCAAAAAAGTTTATTTTAAAATTTTATCATCCATCTGGGCATTGCCATGGCACAAAACTAGTAAATCATATCATATCATATTACTAATATATAAAGACGGTCTCGCAGCCAGGCTGTAGACATCTACTTTTGGCCTCTTGTCCCGACAGGAAGTGCAATGAAGATAAATAAAACCATCTTCGTGTTGGATTGAAGTGGAGAATGCTTATGGATAAATGGTTAAGCCACAAAATACAAAAAACAAGCCCAAACTAAAGTTCAAATCTAAACAAGATCCAATTAACTAAATCGATCAATATTAGGCTTAAGCTCGTGCTTAAAACCCAATAATGACGGATTTAGGAGCGCCTAGGTTAAATTTTAATGCTGCAGAAGGAAAATCCGCGCGCATCTCAATCATTCGCGCTGGGCAGGCGCGCGCAACTAATTCAGTTGCGCGCGACACTCAACACAACCTCTAGAGATGCGCTCGCGGAAGATTAAAAATTTTACGAAAATTTAAAATCGAATCTTACCTTAAGCCGTGCGCAAGACACCCAGATGCGCTTCCCATAGAAGCGCAACCCAATCACTTGCACTGGGATGCCGCGCGCAACTAATCCTGTTGCGCGCGACACTTGTTGAATTAGAATGCTCAAAACCCTAATCCTACCCATTCCCTATTTAGAGGCTTAATTCGAGGCTTAAACACACAGAAAAATAACCTAAAACTCTGGCGGAATACTTGTGAACTTGTGCTACTTAACCCCTCTTTTCTTAAACACTCACCCCTTGATATTTTGTTACTACGGTAGAGGTTCTTAAACAATAAGGTTTCCATAAGTGTTCTAAACGGAGATCTAGCAAAGAGAAGTGGTAAATTCCCGAGCACTTAGATGAATCATATTTATTTTCTTGTTTAAAAGAACTTTAATATATTAATTAGTGTTGTTTAATCACCTTAAAAGGACTAAATAATTAATTCCACGTAGTATCTTGTGTCAAATAAAGATTAGAATTGGATAATTAATTGTTGGTTGGTCACTTAAGCCAAGGAAAATATTGTTTATTTTCTTGTTCTTTTCAAGAAACTGATTGAATAAAGAATAACGACGTTGCAATGTAATTCCTACGTGAATTAACGTGTGTAAATAAAATCAACTAACTTAGTTTTAGGTATCGCATTGCATATATTGTTTGGTGATAAAATAGTAAAAAAGGAAGAGCTAGTAGAGACCGCACTAGGGCTAGGATAGCGATTCCCCCTAAAGGGAACGTTATTTAAGTACCCTCGCTCCCGAACTCATTTCTTGTTTATGTAGACCAACTTTGGCATGGGTAAACTTACGATTCATGCTAATTAATCCATGAACTCCACATGGAAGAAAGGCATGAACGAGGTTTATGAGTTTTCCTAAAACTCATTGGCGACTCCTACTTGTTTCTTATAAAAAAAATAAAAAAAAATAAAAAAAAAGCGTAATGATAGAATCAATTCTAATTCAAGGTCCCCCAAAAAGTCAGGAATTCAAATCCTACTACACATCAACAAGTGTAAAGTCCTAGGCTTTTAAATGGCCATGGGCATCTAAGGAAGGACCCCCTTACGATGGGATCACCCTCCTTACATTGGCGACTCCACTGGGGACTTAGAGGTTACATGATTAGTTCTTAAATATGGTCCAAGGTTTCCAACACTAGCTGGTTGCCTATGGGTTGTAACGAGAATTAACTTGAATATTCTCTAGTTAGAAAGCGAGACTTGAACGCATAATATCTTCCATTTCCACAAAAGTAAAAACCAAACAAGAAACATTGCATCATGCATAAGCATAGAACACTTTAACCATTGGGGATTGGCTCATTGATTAGGAGTCGCCAACACTAGGCTTCTATCCCGAAATCAATAACAATCAACCCGCCCATATCACCAACAAAATGTTGGGAGGGCGATGCCATGAGTTAACACGTTGAGTTATTGATTTATGCGTCATTTCTTAAGATATGATACCTTTGGAAACCCAAAACTTTTTGACCTTAGAATGGCATTACGTGAATCTTGGTTTATGACATGCTTTATGTGCTTATGACTATATGCAACGTGTTAGGATAGTTTTCTTATTTCTATTTTTTAGTTTGGTCTAGGTTCCCAATTATGAAGTTTTCCCTTCGTAATTTTGAGTCATA